TTTGCCCTACATGCCCTGTATAGTCCCCCAAACCAAGAGGACCTGGGGCTCTGCTATTCATTGCTCACTGGTGGGGAGTTTGCTGACTTTATACCAGAGATGACACTAGCTTTTTCTTCCTTAACCAATGCCTTAAACTACCAGCACATGAAATCTCAGATGGCTGTTGCTCTTCTGCATGCATCGCAAAGCCTTGTTATCTGCTTGGCTCCCAAGAAGGAAGTTTTATGAAAAAGATGTATTAATATTCATTTCTGCTGGGGTGCAGCAAATCATTCAGCAAATATTTGGGTACTTGACCTATGTATCCCAGCCTTTAGGATGGACCTTTGCTTGATGGAGATACTGTTTATTTTGAACCAACTTTTTATGTCTATGTTTGAGGAAGCAATTTTGGGCCTGATTTTTCAGTGCAGTTGTTAGCAGCTGTTCCACTGATTTCAACTAGTGTAAGAATTTTGAATCACTTGTATGTACAGGCACTTTAGCGAATGATTTTGAACTATGTTCTAGGGTCTTGCTCCTAATAAGCATTGTCCAGCTGTAGGACTGGACATCAGGAGAGCGTGTTCGTTCCTAGATCTATTATTATGTCATTGCAGAAAAATAATTTATCCCTGTTTCCTTATCTCTACAAGACACATAATATTTCTCTGCCTTTGGAAAGTTGGTTTGATTTTTTTAAGTGGCAGAATCAGTACTAGTCTTTCCTGTTTATGTGAGTATGAAGGAATGCATATAATGTGGTACACTTTCATTTTGCCAGTAGTAACAGCATAATGCAAATAAAATCATACTTTGTAAGGTGGAAAATTTCACTGTCAGAATTTTTTCTTAATGCAATCTGCCCAAATCAGGAAAGGGTAAAAAGCCACTCTGATCTGCACACTACATTAACTACAAATGAAAGGCTGTTCCCATTCGTTTTCACAGAGCTTTTCATGGATAATCATTAACGTCTCATCTTAATAACTTTTCTTCACTTTACAGTAATGTCATGTTTAGTAGGGAGTCATTCTTTGGATCAAGCCTCACAAGAAAACTTAGGTATATACATTCAAGTAACAATTGAGCCTTACTCTTTTCATATTTCTTGCATGCCATTCTCTGCTTGCACTTTCTGTTTTTACTACAGTAGTTCATCTAACCACCATAAAAAGTAAGGGGAGATAAGACTGAAAAGTTATTTAAGCATAAAAAGAAAGTTGCATGACCTTGCAGATACTTCATTGTTCTGCTGTTCAGAAAACACGGGATCTAATCCTGGCTCTGCCAATGATCTGCTTAGAAACAAGTGCTTTTCTCTGTTTTCATAGAATGGGAATGATACTAACCTACTCTGCAAATCATTTAGAAATTTACTGTAAGAAAATATACTGTAAGAGCTAAATGCTATTCCTTATGTAGTCCCAACCTTGCCAACGCAAATTCATGCAAGTCGCTTAGCATTTGTATTCAGTGGAAGAGCATCTCTGCCTGTGTATTTGCAGGTTCTAGTTCAGTAAATGGAAAACAAGTGGATGCTTTTGATCATCTGAATAAAGTTAGTGACATGCTTAAATTGCTGAACTGTGACCTAAGATGTGGGGCAAGAACTTTATCTTCCTGCAAAGAAACATAAAAATAATTTGTAGCAGTTCAGGAATCTGAAAGACACATCATCGGCGATATTAATATTTTGTCTAAATTGTCATACATTTTATTCTATCCCACACAAACACCTTGGTGTCATTCTACTTTAGCTCATTGTTCTCATTCCCACCTCATTCCACAGACATGAAATCATCAACACACAACTCCGCTTTCCTAGTCTGAGCTCCTCAACTTCTGGAGAGCTGCTAGTGAAGCACTTCATTTTTTCATAGGATGATTGGCCCATGCAAAATAGTCGAGAGACATTGATTTTGCCGTTTGATTTCCTTTCCTGTGGTTGATACATGGAGATATGTTCACTGCAAAGTAAAGAGTGGGTCAACATCCATATGGTTTCTACTTATGTTGCTGGCTGCATCTGTTGGTGAAAAATATGCATCCTTTTTTCACAAAGAATTGAACTTGGATTATTCTCCCCATGGATTTGCGCAACATTGCTTATTTTTACCCATTTCCAATCACTTTCGAAAGTGTGGATGAGAAGAGGGGGAGCAAAGGCCTTTAGTGTGCATAAGGGCTCTTTCTGAAGGTCATCAAAGCTGAGCCCAAGTCAGGACTTGTATTCATGTTTCTGGGGAAATA